GCCATGGTGAAGTCGTCTTGATTAACCCCCTCTGCCTCTATCACAAAATCAACTAGTTCCTGAAAGGATTTTGCTGCGGCAGCTACCTGTAAGGATGGAATTTGCAAATCTGACCTCAATCCTTTCACAAAGAGGCGAATCCGCTCCGGTGGACTGAAGCAAATCTGAGTGGCATACCTGGACAGTGCATGAAATTTGACCTCACAAGCAGCAACAAACATCCTTCTTTGCTCTAGGCTTAAGAACTCATCTCTCCTCCTATCCCTCAAAGTCCGGGGTATATACTTCTCCATAAATAAGCTAGAAAATGATACTCAAGTCATAGGTGGTGCCTGTGCTGGTTGACACTCAACATACGACCCCCACCACATTTTGGCATCCCCCTGAAACTGATAGGTCCAAACTCAACACTGAATCGTTCTACTATGTCAATCTTATGTAGCAGCTCATGAAAATCAACTAGAAAATCATAGGCATCTTCAGATTTAGCACCCTTGAAAACTGGAGGTTTCAACTTTAAGAACTTAATGAAAAATCCATGCTGATCATCTATCATTATAGACCCTGTAGTCAATCAAGGAAACGTGCCTACTTCCAATGATGCATCTATGCGAGGAGCCATAGTAGCTGCATGTTGTACCCCCTGAACCTGAGGTACTGGTGCAGAAAACACTGGAGGTGTCTGGACCTGATCATATAACCCGCTAAGATAAGTAAAAACCTGATTAATTATCTCTAGGTTAAGCTGGGGTGGTACTTCCTTTTCCTGAATCTGCTCATTTTCCCCTTCTTCACCCTCTCTCACTACCTCATCAGTCGGTGGAGGAGTAACTGCTCTACTCCTAGCTGGACCAGGTGTTTGTCCTCTACCTCTAGTGGGAGTCCTCCTGCGACCTCTGCCACGGCCTCTTCTCATTGCTCCTACTCGAGTTACAGCCCCATGGCTGGCTCAAAAGCACCCTGTCTTGCCGGTGTTGGTGTTGGCATCGTTGTTGCTCTAGTTCTAACCATATGCAAAATAGAGTGAGAAGGTCAGATACCTATTTTTATCACCCAGATACCAATTGAATCCAAATAATAGCATGAAAGAGAGAAGGAATGAAGTTATCTTAAAGTCCTATAGCCTCTTGAAGAAAACTAAAGGCGTCCCCATACTGTTCATCAAGACTCTACTAGACTTGTCCTTATGTGATGAGATCAACGAATCTCACGCTCTGATACCAACTTTGTCACGACCCAAAATGTATCGTGAGTGACACAAACACTTAACCCCGCTATGAGGGCGAACAAACAAGTCTGAACCCCAACAAATCCAATTAGTTCAACTATAAATAACAAAAATAGTACGTAAGCTCCAAAAGTTATTAAGTGACCAATTTAAATAAATTTCTAAAGTTTAATACTTATTATCCCAAAATCTGAGAATCATCACATAAAGGACATCTATTTCTAAATTACCAAGTCTAAGAGTGTTTAAGAAACCAAAATAAGCAAAAAGATTGTCCATGTCCGAAATTCAAAGACATCAAGACGTGAATGAGAGAATCCAGCACGAGCTAGAATCAATGGCTCATCCTGAACTCTGATGTTCTGGAGACTGCCTATAGCTGAGTGCGAGTCGAAGTTGATGGTACACTTGTTGCACTCCACAAAAGAACAGAGAAGAAATACAAGTAGGAGTCATTACAAGAAACATGTACTGAGTAGGTATCATCGGCACACTCAATATAGAAATCAATATACATTGAATAATAATATAAAATCAACTAGAATACTTAATAGGTGGCAAGCAACAAACACATGAACCATTGACAACAAAACCATAATAAGTACACCATCAAGCACCCCTATGAGGACTCATGCCTCCACACCATACTCATTTGGAAAACAGGTTCTTTGAGATTAAGTATATTAAGTCACTTCAAGATTTCTTTCCTTTAATGTTATTGTGTCAGAACATGATACTCCGATCCCATATATTGTGTCAGAACGTGATATTTCGATCCCATAAATGTCGTGGCGGAACGTGACACTCTGATCCAATAATATCGTGTCGGAAAGTGACACTCCGATCCAATTATCTCATTATTTTATTTCATCAAGCCTTCTTTATTCAAGGTGTCATTTTAATAGAAGGTTTAAGACTAGAAATTCAATAGTCTCATAGTTTTAGGCCAACCACAAACCACACAATCAAAACATACAACCACACAATCAAGTACATAGGACACTTTATAATATCACTGTACACATATCAATCGCTATTTAGAGTTTATCTATCAAATAGAAATAAACCATAACCTACCTTCACTGAAGAACTGATGTTAGACAAGCAACTTCTCTAATGCCTTTACTTTCCTTAATGTCTCCGAACGTTTCAATCTATTATGTATGCATAATTCATAAGTGAACTAGTCCATTGATCCCATATTACTATATGTCTAGGCTAAATTTAAGAACTAATATTCAAAACTTAAAATGAAATTCAATTCTTTTCTTGCAGTTTCATCGGTCCCTGACTAACACAAGGCGAACCTAACCTTAGCTTATTTTTCATTAATTCTCACGTGAGAACAGAGAGGAATAACCATGTCAATTCAATTATTTTTAGAAAATATGTGTGACCCATCTTACCATGATTTCTTAGGTAAATTTCCTTTTCATTCAAAATAATCTCACCGGAAATTAACCCAGGAAGAAAAATTTGCCTCGAACAACCTAATACCACTATCCATTCTAGATGCCTACCGTACCTATATTATATAATAATAATCATAACACTACCACTGTTGTATCTTCTTCCTTCCCAATATCTCGTCTAATTCTATTAATATAGTAATATTAAAATTCATAACAATATATAAAAACTTGACTCATAATACAGTAACTAAAGGAAATAATAAATGATTACCTTTCATTAATGGTATACGACGGCATAACATATAAAAATAGACGACTACTCTTCTTGTTTTTAACTTTTGAATCAATAAACACAATTATTATTATAGTAAAATCTAAAATTAATGTCTACCCAAAATTTAAAACAAAACCGTCTAGTCCACTTTTAATTCCTAACTAACCTATTAATATTATAACTAAACATATAACCGCAGCATTAAACTAAAAATCGTTTCCTCAAATTCCAAGGCAACTCAGTGGTATCACTTCCACTACAACTACGAATAATAATTCACCACCTAAATATAATATACGTAAATAAATAAATTGAAGAGAATTCTTACTTGAAGTCTGTCGTGATTTTTCTTCGTTCAACCCGCTTTTCTCCGCTTCCCCTCTTTTCTTTCTTTAAAAATTATTCATTACCCTAATTTTTATACTCATCTAATTATAATCATGATAAAAATGACCCACTATCAATTATAATATTTTCTTCTTTAACCATCAACTACATAAATTATTAAAATCACCCAATTATTTCTATAATTATAATTATGAATAGTTCAAAACAACCATTTAAATCTATCGGAAAGTATTGTCTGACATACAAAGTTGTAGTACTCAAAACGATTGAAAATGCTCGTTACAATAAGTTTAAACAAAACTAATTAAACTTAGGAAGTTGATAAGTTGGTTAATAAGTTAAATTGGTGAATATATTATTGGAATAAAGTTAAAACTAAACTAATTAGTATTAGAAAGTTGTAAAGTTTTCTAACAAGTTAAATTGATTAATAAAGATTTGGAATTACGTAAAAACTAAAATAATAAGACTTAGAAAGTTGTTACGTTCTTCAAATAAGTTAATGTGATTTAGTTGGTTAATACAGGATTGCAATTACGCTACAACTAAACTAATTAGACTTAAAAAGTTATTAAGTTATCTGATTAGTTAAATGAATCAATAAAGTAATGGGATTAAATTAAAACTATAAAAAATTAGACTTAGAAAGTCTTTAAGTTCTTCAAATAAGCTAATGTGACTTATTTTGTTAATATAGTGTTGGAAACAAGTTAAAACTAAACTAATTAGATTTAGAATGTTGTTAAGTTGTTTAATAAGTTAAATTGGTTAATATATTATTGGAATTAATTTTAAACTAAACTAATTAGTCTTAGAAATGTGTTAAAAAGTTTAATAAGTCAAATTGGTGAATATAGTGTTGGAATTAAGTTAAAAAAATTAATTACACTTAGAAAGTTGTTAAGTTTGTTAATAAGTTAAATTGGTGAATATATTATTGGAATTAAGTTAAAACTAAACTAATTAAACTTTGAAAGTTGGTAATTTGTTTAATAAGTTAAATTGGTGAATAGAGTGGTGGAATTAAGTTCAAACTAAACTAATTAGACGTAGAAACTTGGTTAAGTTCTTCAAAGAAGCTAATGTGATTTAGTTGTCAATATAGTGTTATAATTAATTTAAAACTAAACTAATTACACTTAGAAATTTGTTAAGTTCTTCAAATAAACTAATGTGATTTAGTTGGTTAATATAGTGTTGGATTTAAGATAAAACTAAACTAATTATATTTAGGAAGTTTTAAAGTTGGTTCATATTTTAAATTGGTAAATATAGTGTTGGAATTAAGTTAAAACTAAAATAATTAGACTTAGAAAGTTGTTAAGTTTGTTGATAATTTAAATTGGTGAATATAATGTTGGAATTAAGTTAAAACTAAATTAATTAGACTTAGTGTAAGACCCCAAAAATAACCTAGGTTAACTAGAGCCTAACACGTTTATCTTGATGGTCTCAGGTCCTAAATATATCTAATATATTGTATAGAGAATGTAGCTTGTAACAACCTCTTTGATCGTTTTGATTACTAGAGATTTTATTTGATCAAATATTTTTCGATAGATTCTAAATGGCTGTTTTTTACTATTCATTACTATAATTATGAAATTAGTGGAAGTAGTTTTAATAATTAAATTAGTTGGTGGTTATAGAAGATAACATTAAAATTAATATTGGACCACTTTTATAACTTCTTATAATTAGTCATATAATAATTAGGATAGAAAAACAAATCGGAAGAAAAGAAAATAAATTAGGGCATGGTTACAGAAAGACATAAAAGCGGCTTCCCCACCGATATGATGGAGAACTAGCATCAGCCAGAAGAACGCATAGAGAAATTAGGTAATCAAAGATTAAATCCTCGTACTTTTATAAAGGTCATGTTATTATTATTATATTATAGAGTAAAGTTGGGGAAAAGAAGTAAATCGTCAATTTTATATTGTTAATGTGATATGTGCCGATATATGTTGATGTTGTAATTATTAGTAATGATTACCAAATTATTTTGGCACCAATGAGTTATTGATGTGTGTATTGAAATATATAAGTGCAAGCGTATACAATTGAGATGTTGGCTTCCCGAATGCCCCTGGTTTGTTACTACAGGCTTTAGTTGTGATTTATAACTTATAATTATTGTTTTATAAATTAAAATTTGATATATTGAGATAGATGATTAAATATTTGGCATGTTGAATTATTTTAAATTACATTCAAAGTTATGATATTTGAAGAATTAAAACTTACCCATAGGTTTAAACTTTAGGAACTTGATTTTAGGTGAGTTTTGTGTCTAGGCTTGACATATAATCAGAGTGTTTATGGGATTGTTAACTTACACCTTATGTATATATATACACTTGATAGGTTGGAACGGTTTGGAGGAAACAAGTAAATGAAAGGCATTGGAGAAGTAGTTGCTTGACTTCGATTCTTTGGTGGAGGTAGGTTATGGTTTATGCTATTTGATAGTAAACTCTTAATAGTGATTGATATGTATTGAATGATATTGTGAAGTTTTCTATGTACTTGATTGTGTGTTTGTGACTTTGTGATTGGTCTGAAATTCTGAGACCGTAGAATTTATATTCTTGAACCCTCTTTATCGAAGTGATGTCTTAATAAAGAAAGCTCGATGAAATATTATTAACGAATGGAAAAGTGACTAATGATATTATAGATCAGAGTTTCACGTTCTGACACAATATTCTTTAATTGGAGTGTCACGTTCCGACATGGAAATCTTAGATCGGAGTGTCACGTTCCGACACGATATTCTTGGATCGGAGTGTAACATTCCGACACGGTATTCTTAGATTGGAGTGTCACGTTCCGACACAGTATTTTTCGATTGGAGTGTCATGTTCTTAGACGATAATATTAAAGGAAAAATATGTTGAATTAATGGAAGATACTTAATCTCAAAGAACTCAACTCCCAAAATGGTTTGGTTTTGAAGCATGAGTCCTCATGTGTGATCTTGATATCGTTGACTTAATACGTGCTTACTTTATTGTTATTGACTCTCGTTCATGTTATTTGTTGCTTATCAAATGTTAAGTGCTATAGTTTAGTTCATACTATTATTCTTTGTATATTAATTACTATTGTGGGTTGACCGATGATACGTACTCAGTACATGTTGCCTCATACTGAGTCCTACTTGGGTTTTTCTTTGTTTTACTTTTATTAAATGCAGCGAGTGTACGATGACTTCAGATTTCCCTCAACTCTATCTAGCCTCCCGCATATCAGGTCCCAGGGTGAGCTATTCATTCAAGCTCGTGTTGGATTCTGGTCATGACATGTTGTCCTATACTTTCGAACACATACCATTCTATTCTTTTTTTTAGTGTATTTGATATTCTTAGACTTATTGGTGATTAGATGTCCTTGATGTGGTAACTTTCAGGTCCTGGAAAATGATATTTAGTAACATTTGAGTTTCCGCATTATGTTTGTATTTTGTAAGTTAGGTTAAATTGGTTGGTTCACCCACTTGGGAGGTTAAGTGTGGGTGCCACTCACGACTCGTTTTGGGTCGTGACAAACTTGGTATCAGAGCTAGGTTCAGTGATCTCATCACACAAGGACAAGTCTAGTAGAGTCTTGCGGAACGGTACGGGGACGCCATTACATTTCTTCGAGAGGCTATAGGACTTTAGGAAATTTCATTCCTTCTTTCTTTCGTGCAACTACTTGAATCCAATTGGTATAGGTGGTACAAATTGGTATCTGAATTTCTTCACTCTATTTCACATATGGTTAAACTAGAGTATTAGAAGTTGAAATAGCAATAACAGAAAGAAAAAGAAATGTGTCCTCAGAAATAGGTATATTTTCTCAATTGACTACAGGGCCTGTAATGACTAGTGATCAACATGGTTTATGATATTAAGTTCATACGGTTGAATTCTCTACTGGTATTGATTATGAAGATGTTTTTGCTTTCATTTTTTATTGTTTTGAGTTGTGCCATAAAATGAATATCGTGGAAAGGCTTAGTGTTGAGTTCTGACTTATAGTTTTGGGGAGATGCAAAATGTGGTGATCCATTTTCTAGCTTCTTTATTCAAACCCAAAATTTGAGCTATGGGAAGAAAGATGACGGAGGATATGTGTTGCAGCCTATGAGGTAAACTTTTTGTACGATATCTAGATATCTGACAAGATGCAAGAAGATTTGTAAAGGACAACTAGAAAATGAACATCGTTAAATTACAAAATTCAGTTAGTAGAGTTTTCCAAACATGCATAGGTTGTATAGCATATGATGAAATTATGTTGTGGCAATTGAGGCATAATCTCTTTTATGATTTCGTAGATTGTGTGTATACCAAAAAAGATCATAATAGACTACTACAATAATACTAATGCTATCGGTGCTTACTTAGTTAAAGTTATAGATTGTGTTACTTTTGTGGTCAACCTAAGATACAAAAGAATGAATATAGCTTTTGATGAGAGACCAAAAAGGTTCGGTGGCATATTTTAGTCACTTAGTGGGAAAAAAAATTTATTTGAGTACAATCTTGCAAAGGTATGATGTATTTCACTGGTGAATTTAATGGACTTTAATGGTTGTGGTACTATGGGTATCTGAAAATGGATATATCGATTATGAAGTGTGAATACTAACTACTTAAGAAGTTATTAGTAGTATGACATGTTTAGATAATGAGATTTCAGTGTTGCTTTCACATTTGAGAAAGCAACTAGTTTATTACTACATGTACTTGGATTGTATTATATTTTAACGAAAAGGTTGGTCTGAATTTTTTGTACAGTATTAATACATTTAGATTGTGAAATGCATCTTAAGAGTTCTGAATGAGGAGCGGTGATCTTATCTAAAGTTTCAAGGGATAGGTTGATAGTAGAATGACAAACTTATAGGGGAAGAAAGTCCTAGTGAGTATTCTTTGGGTGGATTAAATTGAAGATTGTAGTAAGAAAGTGCATATATAATTTGTTAGTCCCTTCATTTTTATTAATATATCTGATTTTAAGGTGTCATGTCGAGAAAAAAATTGACTTTGTGGTGATGAAAAGGGCATACAAAGCATGATGGTAATAGGAGTAAGTGATGGATGGTGACGGATATGCAAATTATAGAATACAAATTGTTGGTCAAATAAATTTTGTATGGTGATAAAAACTTGCGAGTATCTAAGGTTGAGCTTTCTACTATTTAGTGAGTAATGTGGTTGTATGACAAATTTTAGGAGATGTTTGGTCACCACTCGAATTGAATTTAAAGAAGCTAGAGTCATAATGAAAATAAAATAAAAATGAAATTTAGGGTAACCTTTAGAGAGAAGTGAGAGCAATTTTTTTTCCTTAAATTGTAAGGGGTAAACGGGTATTTTCAATGGAGTTGAAAATTTAATGTAGTGACGCGTGATTCCACCTATTTTTCTATGGTTATGATAATAGTGTCACCTATTCATCATATTGGTCAAAAATGATTGAAAAGACTTGAGAAAAGAGTGTACATACATTCAACTCGAATGTAACGATAAGTTCTTTTGTGATTTTAAGTTTAGTAATGAGTACTATAGAGTTTTTAGCAAATTATATGGTAAAATCTATGAATAGGTGATCAATGATAAGTTAAGATAATGAATTCCTAAAAATCTTCAAGGTATGAGCTAATGTTGATAGATAAAGGAATTTTGTTATATGGTTGATATCACCGGTCAAGTTCCTTATTTTAAGGCGACATTCATGGTAGTATTAGTCCAGATATGAATTATTAAGGTAATAAATGATTAATCTTGTAGTGTATTGGGTAGTTAAAAGAATCGGTGCGTGTTTTGAGTCGTAAAGTTTGTTACTTTGATTGTTAAAGGAGATAAGGAAGAGTTTTCCTCGGAGTTTTGATTTAGAGTGTGAAGTAAAACGTCATGATTTGTTGGTAAAATAATGAGATCGGTAAGCTAGTTAGAGAGAAATAGGTCCTATATATTGAAGAGCCGGGATATTTAAAATTATGCACCATGAGAAGATTAGAGAAAAGTAAAAGGAATAAGACCTCTCGTATAAGCGCTTGGGGTGAAGTTTAAGGTTGTACTAATTATATTTTTATTTTTATTTTCTATGAGTTTTGGTAGGACCGTGCGGTGTGAACTAGTTTAGTAGAGAATTACTACGAATTTGTCATCAACTTTTATAAAGTTTGAATTTTGATTTGGGTGACAAACATTGAGGTATGTAAGATTTGGTGTTTTACATGGGGTTTAGATTGCTCAAATTATGAGAAATAATTTAAGAATGATGTACGAGGTGAGATATAATTTCACATGCTTATTAAGAATTTAGAGTTATTAGGAATTTAGAGTTGGGTTAGTGTTAATGTATTGATGGGACTACATAGAATGTTAAGATGTTTTACCTAAACATATATTGGTGAATAAAGGTTATAAGGTTATAGTATACAAAATAATTTGAGTGACCAAGAACTTTCCTAAGTATTGGCATGATGTATGTGATTGCGTTGAATGGTAATTAAAGCATGGTATGTGGAAGTGGTTGGAAGTTGATTTTTAGTATGATTTAATAGTTTTTTCTCGATTGAAAGGTATCATTCAGTTTTAAATTAGTGTTATTATCCTTGTATGGAACTCATATTTGTCATCAAATGTTTAAATAGAAAGAGAGATAGCATAGTTTGAACATGTATGTGCTAAGAATACTTTGATACTAATGATGATTTGAGAGTAAGGTAGATGATTGGTGAAGTTATGATGTTTTATTAGTATTAAAGTGTTAAACTTCAATGGATGTGGGGTTCGATAAATTATGTATTTGTGCACTTATAATAGGACTCAATTAGTGATTGTGGGTACCTAAAAAAAATCAAAGACGTAGAGTCAGATGAATGAAATTGTTTGATATTGGAACTATTAAAGGAGTATCTGGAGTTATTCGACCATGGTTATGTAAATTTTATGTGACCAAATACTTCGTTCTGGGTGTGGTTTAGAGTATGATTCACTTTCTACACCTGCTTGTGTTTTTCGATTCTATCCGTGGACCTCGTATTGGATCGGTGTACCACTTTTATAATTTTCCTCTTGGTAGGATGTTTAGGAATACTTGGTTATATCAAATGACATATTTGGTGTTGTATTTAGGCTATTGAAATATATTTGGTTCTACATACAACTTTTCTTATGAGAACGTATAGGAGAGCTACAATGAAAATTTACATTTGTTCTGTAGAATTAAGATTTATCTTATCATCAATATCATGTTTTGACTATGAATAATTGAATGTGAGGATCATTAAGTCTTGTTTTGTCATTCTTAAGGTTTGTCTATAATAGCTACTTTTCTAACAATTCGGTGTTATTGTTAGAGGTTATGTATGTTGGGGTGTACCAGTCGATTGTGGTTACTTGATCACTTTCATCTTTGGATTAGATGAGTTCGATTTTCCTTAATAATTACTTGATGTCTGAAGATCATTTTTTCATAGCTTAAGCTCGAGAGTATATTATGTTATGAAAGTGTAATCTTGATAAGTTTTGTGACGGTTGATGAATTACGAGTGTGTGTTGATTGGTTCAAGTTCACTCCTAATTGTAACTAATATGATTCATGATCTTATCATGGTCATGTTAGGAAATATTTGTCTTCATGGCTGTATCAAGGTCTAGTGGGATAATCGGTCAGCTAAAAAGTAAACTTGAAAATAGTTTTATTTTTGTTAGTTGAGTTTACATACTATAACAATTACCACTAGATTAATGAGATGGACCCATTTTAGGCATGAGAGGAGGTGTAGATCTCCAATTGGTTGGTTTGATGCAATGGAGGTAAAATTTTGTGAGACTTAGCATGATATGCATAAAAAATATTTACACATTTTGTTAATTCTTCTATCCTTTCTTACCCTCGCCAACTTTGATCGTTCGAGGACGAACGATGGGTAAATTGGTATCTAATGTAACAACCTCTTTGATCGTTTTGATTACTAGAGATTTTATTTGATCAAATATATTTCGATAGATTCTAAATGGTTGTTTTGGACTATTCATAACTATAATTATGAAATTAGTGGGAGTAGTTTTAATAACTAATTTAGTTAATGGTTATAGAAGATAACATTAAAATTAATATTGGACCACTTTTATCACTTCTTATAATTAGTCATATAATAATTAGGATAGAAAAAAATCTGAAGAAAAGAAAATAAAGTAGAGCATGGTTACAGAAAGACAAAAAAGCGGCTTCCCCACCGATATGATGTAGAACTAGCAGCAGCCAGAAGAACGCATAGAGAAATTAGGTAATCAAAGATTAAATCCTCGTACTTTAATAAAGGTCATGTTATTATTATTATATTATAGAGTGAAGTTGGGGAAAAGAAGTAAATTGTCAATTTTATATTGTTAATGTGATATGTGCAGATATATGTTGATGTTGTTATTATTATTAATGATTACCAAATTATCTTGGCACCAATTGGTTAGTGATGTGTGAATTGAAATATATAAGTGCAAGTGTATACAATTGAGATGTTGGCTACCAGCATGCCACTGGTTTGTAACCAGAGGCTTTAGTTGTGATATTATAACTTATAATTATTGTTTTATAAATTAAAATTTTATATATTGAGAGAGATGATTAAATATTTTGTGTATTGAATTATTTAAAATTACATTCAAAGTTATGATATTTGAAGAATTAAAACTTACCCATAGGTTTAGACATTAGGAAATTGATTTTAGGTGAGTTTTGTGCCTAGGCTGGACATATAATAAGAGTGTTTATGGGCTTGTTAACTTACACCTTATGTATATATATATACTTGATAGATTGGAACGGTTCGAAGGAAATAAGGAAATGAAAGGCGTTGGAGAAGTAGTTGCTTGACTTCGATTCTTCGGTGGAGGTAGGTTATGGTTTATGCTATTTGATAGTAAACTCTTAATAGTGATTGATATGTATTGAATGATATTGTGAAGTTTTCTATGTACTTGATTGTGTGTGTGTGACTTTGTGATTGGTCTGAAATCCTGAGACCGTAGAATTTATATTCTTGAACCCCTCTTTATCGAAGTGATGCCTTAATAAAGAAAGCTCGATGATATATTATAAACTAATGGAAAAGTGGTGATACTAAATGATAAACTAATGATATTATAGGTTCGAAGTGTCACATTCCGACACAATATTCTTGGATCGGAGTGTCACGTTCCGACATGGTAATCTTGGATCGGAATGTCATGTTCCAACACGATATTCTTGGATCGGAGTGTCACGATCCGACACGGTATTCCGTGTCGGAGTGTCACATTCCGACACGGTACTTTTGGATCGGAGTGTCATGTTCCAACACGATAATATTAAATGAAAAATATGTTGAATTAATGGAATATACATAATCTCAAAGAACTCAACTCCCAAAATGGTTTGGTTTGGAAACATGAGTCCTCATGTGTGATCTTGATATCGTTGACTTAATACGTGCTTACTTTATTGTTATTGACACTCGTTCATGTTTTTTTTCCTTATCCCATATTAATTGCTATAGTTGAGTTCATACTATTATTCTTTGTATATTACTTACTATTGTGGGATGACCGATGATACTTACTCATTACATGTTGCCTCGTACTAAGTCCTAGTTGTGTTTTTCTTTATTTTCCTTTTATTAGAGGCTGCGAGTGTACCGATGACTTCAGATTTCCCTCAACTCTAGGTAGCCTCCCGCATATCAGGTCCCAGGGTGAGCTATTCATTCAAGCTTGTGTTGGATTCTCTCGGTCATGACATGTTCTCCTATACTTTCAAACACATACCATTCTATTCTTTTATTTTACTGTATTTGATATTCTTAGACTTATTGGAGATTAGATGTCCTTGATGTGGTGACTTTTAGATTTTGAAAATGATATTTAGTAACATTTGAGTTTCCGCGTTATGTTTGTATTTTGTAAGTTAGGTTAAATTTGTTGGTTCGCCCACTTGGGAGGTTAAGTGTGGGTGCCACTCACGACTCGTTTTGGGTCGTGACATAGCTAATGTATTAGGTTTGTTGGAAGTCAAACGTTAAGGGACGACTAAGACATTCAACGACTAAGTCACTGATGTGCCTAATAAGTACTTTTATGAGTTTATGTATGTTTCATGAGGTTGTAAGGTGCATAAATGAGTTATTATAGCATGTGTAAGTAGTTTGTTGAGCTTCGAGAAGTTTGGAGGTCAAATGACCAAGAATTTTCATGACGTTCGAAAGATATGCCTTGTCAAGACCCAAAAATAGACGTGATGGCACTCGTCTCATCCAACCATGACAAGTAAGCCTAAAACTCAACAATTACAATAAAATTCAGAAAAATTACTATCAACTTAAATTGTACCCTAAAACTTGGTAGTCACGTGTACAAGCCTCTAAATTATACAATTGAATCAAAACAAAATATAAGTCTCAAATGATATTGTTTCTAGAGTAAAACAAAATCATGAACAGGAGTAAGAAGGTCCGCTGAGATGACAAACAACTACCTCACAATTCTCCAACAAGCTTCGGAAAATAAGAGAGTATATCAGTAAGTTCCGCGTTAGTAGCATACAAAAAAATAATGTAGAAGCAAATGATGAGTACCAAACGACACAGTACTCAACAAATAAACCTCTAAACACATGTTAAGGAGATGAAATACGGGTACTCCTACCAACCCCAAAGCGAACCTCCACAATTTACAACCTGCATAAAAATCAGCTCAACCTGAAAACTCAAGGTTTACAGCGCACATAGTTCAACAATAACACTTAAATAAATTACATATCCTGAACAATAACACTTTGACAAATTATATGTTCTCAACAACAACACTTTAAGAAATTACATGTCCTCACCAACAATACTTTAAAAAATTTCATATCCTCAACAACAAGCTCAGTATTCATCAATCACCAATTATACAGAAAGGCATTCACCAAACCAGCAAAACGCAATATCAAGTTCATTAATGATAAGTGTGTGCAATTCAATGGAATGCAATGTCAAGTATAAAGATGCATGTCTGACCTAGTGATACACACCAGTTGTCTCTCAGTACGGGATCCATGGGGGACATATCTGTCCATGAATCTGTAGCGGCGCATGATACGACCCTCGATAATAGTAACCATCGCAGCGCGCAATACGTCCCTCGAAATATAGTATCCATCGTGGCGCGTGATACATCCCTCAAAATGGTACATCCTCTTAAGTACTCATTCTTTCTCAAAGAACATAACACTTGTCACAACGAATGCCTCAGAATAATACAAATGACATCTTCACACAAATAATGAAGTGATGACCATTTTCATAACGTTGCACAGTTCACAACAACACAAATATGAAATGACATCAATAATGATTCAACAATCCTTCAAACCTTTCTCAACACATCACACATAAACAATTAATCACATTGCCTTTTGTTATCCTCTTTTTATCATTACTAAAATTAATCAATGCGGATTAGTCAACACATCACCAATTCAGTTACTCCCAAACATATACCAAAAGGAATTACACACATTCCATACACTTAACAAGAGTTTAGAAATCCATTTGCCTCTATTAGTCGAGCAATTACTCCAGAACTTGAGTCTTCCACTTTCAATTGAACTTCCAATTCAAGCCAATCTATGTAAATAAATGACCACCATAAGATTTCAAAACTAACAACACACATATTATAATGTATGTAGCCTTGACTCAAAAACTCACTCAAATTTATAATAAAGTTCCTAAACTCGATGTTAATTAACATGTCGACTTTCCTATCCCTAAGTTTAAAGTCTAGAAATATGTTCCAAGTCTACAACATCATAAATATAATAACATTCACCTACTATTTAATTTGATAACAAATATATCAAAACTTTAATCATAATATGAGAACTATTAAAAAGATTTCAAATTGATCCCAATTTAAATCAATTATACTAAACACGAACATAAAGATAACTGATAAAATACTTTTATACGGCAGGCTATTTGTATGTCTATTGAACAGTACAACCTCCATCACCTATAATTGCTTCATAATTATCAAAAATTGTCATAATTAATTAATTATATAAGTACAATTTGAGCCAAGGATGCATATTACAGTGGGGTCCATGGCAGTAATTGTGTGTTTTCTTTGTGGAAAATACTGAAGAGATCTGATTATAACATTAATTGAACATGAAAACTCAATCTACACTTCTTGCTATTGACGTGAAATGACAAACTTGCCGTCAATTCATAACACAATGTTTTCTCGACCAAATTAACACCAAGTCATTTCAAGTACACAACCATTTGATAAATGACTTATGCCCACACACCCTAATAATAACTACAAACTAAAGACGATATATATGAACAAATTTTTACCTGAAATAGTCTGTCTTTTCTTATCCTCTGCTATCGTCTGCCCGGTGGAATGGGTGGGGAGGTTGCGGCTAATTCCGTATAATGATAAAAGAATATAATAATCCATTTAACTTGTTTATGTATAAGGGTTATGAAGAAAAATAAATAAATAAATAAGGTCTTAAATAGATTATGGGCTTGACTCACTAACCACCGATTAACTAAATAAATTATATAATAAATACCCATCAACTACATAACCATAGTTGTCAAATAATTTAAAATTCTCAAACCAAGAATGACTCGGGGGCAACTATTGAAATGGGTAGAAATGAAAATTTTATAAAAAAATTTAAAAACTGATTTTTCGGGTCATTATATTATCCACCACTAAATAATATGTTCGTCAACGTAACAAAACCATGAGTTACACCTACTAGTTGGTGTTCATCTCTCCAACTAAGCTCATATTTATGACCATTTAGTCAAGATCAACACTAACAATTGAACTTTCCAATCAAACTTTTAAAGATCTATAATTCAAGAGTGATTATCAAGTCACAAACTAACTCATTAACTAAATCTAAAGTTAAACTCATTGGATCATAACACAACCACCATGACGAATCTTTTCTCACATAATTAAGATAGACTTCTGAAACAATACTAGGTACAACCAAAAGTGGACTTTACCAACCATTCACCACACACTCATAATGCATAAACCATCACAAATCTGATCAAGATTCCTTCTAAAAAGACAATCTTTCTACGAACCTAAGTTATAAAAACATAATCTTTAGATATTATGTACTCATCAAGGGAGAATCAAACTTATCTAACCCAAAGAAGAACAAGATGAAGTAAGCACATAGATATATACACCCAAGTTAACAAATCACACATATTCGAAAAGTGACCTCAGTTACAAGATGAATATTAAGACAATCAAGCAACTATGAGTATCCATGGTAGCACTTGTACGAGTTCTTAAGAAAAGTTGTGCATGTAGAATCACTAGCACACTTACATTATTCCAAACAACACCAAATCTTCCATAACTAAAATAGACCCTCTAACAAAGGGTGCTACCCTACCAAGAGTACAATTACAGAATCAGCGCACCCGATCCACCACTAGGAATTCACTCATAGATATGAAAAAATATGTGGGTACAGATAGCGAACCACACTCCAAATCATATTCAAAACGAAGTAGGTGCTCATATAAGAATAGACAGAACCAAAGTCGAATAACACTAGATACTTCTTCCATAGTTCTCATATCAAACATTTTCATTCATATGACTGTGTCTCTTAATTTTATCTTGATACTCGCAATCACCAATTTAGTGTCGATTATAATTGCTCACATACTTATTTAATCGAACCACAAATGCTCTTTATAGTATTTCACTAAGGTTAATACTCTTAATATTAAAAAAACTTCATAGCCATACCAACCATTTACCTTATTTTCAAACCTAAGTACTAAAGTCTTCTTAACAAACACATTATCGCCTCAAAAATTTTCAAACTATGGTTCCCTCTCTTTCCATTTAAGTATTTCATGACAGATATGGATCCCACCTAAGGCCAATAGCACTAATTTCAAATACAAAATCTTTTTTCCAATCAATATAAAGTTTATTAAATCACATACAATGTAAACATCACATAATCTTTCAGATACTAAAGTTTAATTAACTAAGATTCACAACCATCATATCATACCAACACTTGAGAAATTCTTGGTCACTTCAATACTTCGGTAACCTATAATATCATAGTCTCTAATCACTATTAAATTCCTATGTAACACATCATAACAAATTGTATCATCCCATCAACAAAGTAGTATCAATCTCCTTGAATCCTCATTACTCATGTAAAACTGTAGGCCCACATTGTTCAACATCAATAATTTACATATAATTATTTGAACAATCTAGCACGACATAACCACATAGAATCTCCCACATCTAGTTGCTTGTCACCCAACCAAAAACACAATCTTTAGAAATGTCACGACCCAATACGGGTCGCGAGTGGCACCCACACTTATCCTACTACGTGAGCGAACCAACCCTTCTAAACCCCAACATTTCAAACATAATAGGAAGAATATAATGCGGAAGACTTAAAACTCATTAACGAAATCAATAATTAACTTCTAAAACTCAAAACTTATCACTATCCCCAAAATCTGGAAGTCATCATCAAAAGAACATCTATCCTCAACTTACTAAATCTAAGAGCATCTAAGAAGCTAAAATAACTAAACATCTAGTCAATGCCAGACCTTCAAGGCATCAACACGTGAAGAAGAAGATCCAGTCCAAGCTAGAAACAATAGCTCACCCTGAAATCTGACGTGATGAAGACTGGCTAGAGTTGCGGTTGAGTTGAAGACGACGGTACGTTTGCTGCACTCCACAATTAACAATAAGAAAACATACAAGTAGGGGACAGTACAAAACACAAGTACTGAGTAGATATCATCGAA